AAAAATTTATCCAAAGAAAATATACAATCAACAGCACTAGTAATTCCATAAATATTCATAAATTTAATGTATATCCAAATAGCGTAATATAGAACAAAATCATTCAAAAAATTTGTTTAACCAATAAAATGGGTTAAATGGATTGAGGAGAGATGGGGCTATTACAAGTAGTACAAAAAATTAATATAATAGGCAAGCCTGAGAGGCTCTATATAAGGCCGAGCTTTTGAATTGGAGCATGAGGCCTTTTTATTAAACGAGTTTTTGTACAAGTCCAAGCCTGATTCCAACAACCAATTTTAGACATGTAAGCTCAGGCCTTTATAAGTCGAGCTAAAGGCCCCTGATTCGTTTATCACCCCTACCTGTTAGTGATTCTTTATATAGGGGCAAAATGTACAGTATAATTTAACATTTAATAGTGTTAGAAGGTGTATTGGATAAAATAAAAATAAAAATCATGTAAGTGATTCTACGAGAAATAGGGAGTTTTTGAACTTTTTCAATAATAATAATAGGGAGAGATTATAGTTATTATCTTTTTTTCTTATTACTTGTTACTACCAAATCTTAACCGTTGATTTCCGTCAATCTAATGGTTATAATTTATTAGAAGAGTAAATACCATTTTTGGTCCTCAGCTAATTTTATGATGCCCGCTTTAGTCCCTAGCAAATAAGAAGGTTATTCGTGATCCCTAAGAAATTCAAAGTGGACCCGTTTTAGTCTTTTTGAGGGACTAATATGGGTCTATTTTGAATTTGTGAGGGACCACGATTTCAACTAAATGAATCCATTTTGAATTTCTTAGGGACCACAAATAGCCATTTTATTTGCTAGGGACTAAAGCGGCTATCGTGAAATTTGCTGAGGACCAAAAAGACTATTTACTCTTATTAGAATTAATAATTAATTAATAAATATGACCCAATAAATTATAACTATTAGATTGACAGAAATAAACGATTAAGATTTAATAGTAATAAGTACTAAAAAAAAAGTAATAACTATAACTTTTCCTATAATAATATTATTAATAATAATAAAGCTGAGTCTGTTTACTCTACACTAACTTAAACATTATTTGCATTTGGAATTTTAACTTACCGTATATGTGTCGATTTTTCCTCAATCAGCAATATCTATTAACTTTTAAAAAACAAAAAAAAAAAATGAATAAAAATGAAAAGCTTAAAATTTAACTAGGCACATTAGGTGCCCTGCTGTTTAGTTTGTTTTGTTTTTTGGGCTGTTTAGCCTCCCATCTACCGAAAAAAAGTTTATTATTTTATACTTAGCGCCATTGTTCAACATCAGAAACAGATATATTCAAATGGCTCTTCTGGATTATTCTCTCTGTGCGTGGCAAAAGTGCCACGGTGTCTACAGTGAAACACAAGGACATCACGATTAGCAAGCAACACTAAAGTGACATCAGAGTGAAGCTTTTTCTCTTTCTGCAGATTGTAACTTACAAAAACAGGAACAACAATCGTTTGAGATCTCCGAGTGATAATATAATATATATTCTTCGTAGAAAAATGAAAAACATGAGAGGAAATAATGAAATAAAATAGCATTTGAATAATAAGATGCCACATTGTTAGATGGAGGGTTGATGAATTTTGCACTGGCTTTTTAACATATGGCCACGGATGTCAAGAGTTAGGGCACCGTTGACTTCACTTATGGAATAAGAATGGACACGTCATACACGTCGTTTAAAAGCTCTCGACCAAGAAAAAAAATTGACCACTTATAAGTAGACATGTGTTTCAGAATTTGGGGTTGACTGCTTATCTAAGTAAAAGTTCTGGGGTTGACACATCACTATAGCACCAAATCCATTCTGTTTGTACGAGTTAAATTTATTAAAAAGTAAACGAAACGTTAGACTTACCAGAACAACCAAACAAAAAACAATAAATTAGCAATTAGTTTGTGTATGAATTTGCATAGTTTTTTTGTTAAAAATACATTGATTTAAAAAAAATTATAATATAAAAAATGATTGTAGCTTTGGTGTCAGAAAACTGAGCAGGTAGACGTGAGAGCATGTAGGAGGGGTTTAAACTTTAAAGCCTTAATATTGATATCCACCCCGAATTGGATTAGTCGTGAATGTTAGAATTTTCCTTTATGTGGGCAATATTAATTAATTAGTTTTCTGTTTTAAAATTAATCGGGTTAAAGAATATTTCAATTGTATTATTTTGATAAGCTCGTTGTGATCATGTTGAGTTGGGCTTTTGACATCTGTTGGTATTGGGCCTAGTTGGGCAGCAGTGTAGGCTTTGGTGTGACCCTGGTTTTTCGTGATGGGTGGATTCAGTAGACACAAAATCTTTTTAGGGTATTTGGCTAGGTCCCCTTTCTAACCTATTTATATTGGGATTAAATCTCATGAGCCGACATGCTCCCATCGCTGAAGGCTGCCATTTTGGAATAGGTCATATAGAGGAAGACTCTAGCCGTGAGATCAAGGTTCTTCGCTTAGTAGATAAGATGGCTCAATCAGGTACATAAATTCCTCTAAGAAGATATATGGTACATGTGTTTTATTTATCATACATGTATCGATCTTTTGTTGAATTATTGATGATGAAAATATGTTACAGTGAAGCGATAAACTGATTAAAATATATCTAAAAAAAAATATACTATAAAAAAAATATAAATTTTAAATATTATAAGTATCTCCTAAGATATTGTAAGATCTTGATATTACACTTGGAAATCATTGTTGACATTACTCCCTCATTGGTAAAGACAGCCAGAACTTTAAGCTTGCACCCAGCACGCTAAGCTAGCCTTTTAAGATCATTACATGATTTTGTTCGCTGAACTTTTGAAGTGCCGAAACAATCAATTTTCTATTTATAAGTAAGGGGTAAATCCAGATATGCATGAAAAGAAAAATAAAGTAACCTAGCAAGATCAAATGGATGCTAGGCTAGCAGCAATCATGAGTCGTTAATTACATCACTTAAGTATGTTTAATTCTTTATACCAAAACTTACCAATTTTGTTACTATCTTAAGCGTCAATACGTTTCTTTCTGGTTTTGCAACTATGTTTCTTCAGTACGTAAATCACCCTGATCTGGTACACTGGTAATCTGGAACCATTGGCATAATTATCTCCCTAGGTTTGATTAAGCTTTCTCTCTGTTTAATGAATGGAGTATTTATTTAAAATAAAACAAGTCATGATAGCCAGTTCATGGTAAGGTGTATAAGTTTGACCCTAGCCTATGATAGACATAATCAAAACGTCATTCACATACAACATAATCTCATTGAGAAATATAAGGCATGTTTCGATATATATATATATATATATATATATATATATATATATATATATATCTTTGTTTGTTTTCATAGTTTGTGCAAGAAATGGTGGGAAAAAAAATCAGATTTGATATGGGCTCGTAGTAACGAGATAAAGGGACAAAGACTTAAAAAGTCTAAAGAAACACGTTCATTCTTCATATACATCATCCCACAAATATAATAACATTAACTCAAAACTCCTGAGCCTCCTCAATAGTCAATGACTGAAGAACAAACACATGATTCTAGTTAGGCCTAAGATGCATAGCCTTCAAATAGGCATCTCGCAAATGGGATAGGCTATAGAAGCCACTTGAATCCGCCAATTAGATTATATGTCGTCATACTAAGGCAACATAAGCAAGCAGGGCATGCCATCATTATATAAAGAAGGCTCAAAATCATGTATGATCATCTTTTTCCATTATAACTTAAGTTCATTGGTTAAATATTAACTTGAGCGTCAGAGATCCTTGTAGTTATCTCCCCACCGTTTGTCCTAGGCAAGCAAAGATTTCAAGTGGCAGCACAACCATCCCGTAAGAGCATCTCGCATCAGAGCCCATTTTGCTGCAGACTCATCTCAGATTTCAATTGGACTTGACTAAATCGTGGGTAGTCAGGCCCAACATCTCTTAACTGATCAAGATATTTTTTAATAAATAAATAAATTAATTATTCAAAAAAAAAATAGTGACATTTTTATAATTATTAGCGAAGATAATTTTTTTTCTTAAAATAAAAAAAAAGTCCTTAACAAAAAGGTTCTTTTGCATTGAGTTTCTTTTAAAATTATTCAAATGAGAATATTCTTTCTTAAATTTCAGCGGATTTTGATTACGATATATTTTAAATTAAATCAATGACAAATATACTCTTACTTATTCGAGACAAACTCAATTCATTAGAGAAAAGTCTAAAGTTCACATTGAGAGAAAAAATAAATGAAAAATGAAAGCCACCAAGTGGTATAATGAAAGAGTACAACACATTTAGTTTTTTTTCCAAATGTTGATAAGGGAACCGAACAACCTTACCGCCCCTCATTCCGAAAAAACATCTAAATCTAAGGTCACACTCAAGTTCAATGATCATTTTATCTCTGTAATCCCATCACACTTTTACAATGAGAAAAAAGTCAGCTCCCCAGTAGTGTCTTTTTCCCTGTTATAAACCTCTCCTTCTACATATAACACAAACATGCACCTGTTATTATTATCAAACTTACACATCAAACGAAGTAAAAATGACATTAAAAGTGACATGTAACAAATCATTTTTCTTATACCTAATGTCGTGTTATGATTAATATATAGGTGCTAAGGTGCATATTGCATGGTATATGTATTGTTTATGCAGTATACAGTATGTATGTATTGCATACGTATATATAATGTATATAATTAATTGAATGAAATGTATATAAATAATTAACATCTACATTGAGAAAGACGTGGCACTGTGGCAGAAGGGCGGCACCAAATCCTTTTGACTTCAAACACATAGCCCTGTTTTCTTGTGCTATAAAAGCAGGGGTCATCTTACTTTGCATTAGAACCAACAAAAGTTTACTTTCGTTCCTGTTTTTATCTTTGGCATTTGAGTGCACTTTTTGGCTACCCTTCTGGAAATCATACACCTTATTACTTCTCATCCGCTTCCAAAATGGGAAGATCACCTTGCTGTGACAAGAATGGACTCAAAAAAGGTCCATGGACACCTGAGGAAGATCTCAAACTTACCAACTATATTCAAACTCATGGACCAGGAAATTGGCGAACCCTCCCCAAGAATGCTGGTACCTACTACTAGTTTTCTTCTTCTTCTTCATATACACCCTTCCCCAACTCACTCTATACACGTTTTGTATGCTCTTGGTTACAGGTCTCCAAAGATGTGGCAAGAGTTGCCGCCTTCGATGGACAAATTACCTGAGGCCTGATATCAAGAGAGGAAGATTCTCCTTTGAAGAAGAAGAGACCATTATTCAGCTACACAGTGTCCTGGGAAACAAGTAGGTGTAAAATTTTCCTTCTATGCATAATATAGAGAGTTAATTCATAACATCATATATGACTAAGTGATTTAGAGTTTCCTTTATTGCCTCGATTCTTTTAATAAAAAGGGATATTTTAGCATAAGTTAAGTGTACTCTTGTATTATTTGCGCTTCAAGTCCAAAGAACTCTTCCGTGAGGTATCCCCATTCAACCTTCTCCGGGTACCATGCCCTCGGGGTACGGCCCGTTTGGGCTAGCCCCTCATTGTAACAGTGGGTGCACTAAGCTTCGCAACCGGAGAAAAGACGAGACTAATCTCTCAACCGAAGATTTTTGGCTTATCCTCTGGCCCCCAAAGATTTTCCAAGAAACTGCTTGAGGCAGGGTTTGATCCCTGCACCAAGCAATCCCTTAAGAGCTCAGCTGCCAACTGAGCTACCTCGGGGGTTAAATAATTATGTATTTCACTTATAAGAAGTATTAACTTTTTTTCATGAATCAAAGAATGATTATGCTTGTGTGATGTAAGTTTTATTTTATATATTAGATGCTAATCTATGTTGTTTGTGCATATTTAGGTGGTCAGCTATAGCAGCTCGGTTACCAGGAAGAACAGACAATGAAATAAAGAACTATTGGAACACCCACATTAGGAAGAGGCTACTTCGAATGGGAATCGACCCTGTTACTCACGCTCCACGTCTTGATCTACTTGACATGTCTTCTATCCTCAGGTCAGCATTAGGTAACCCATCTTTTCTGAATCTGCAAGGCCTATTGGGTGCTCAAGCGTTGGTGAACCCAGAGTTGTTAAAGCTGGCTGCCACTGCCTCTCTGTTATCTATGAAGAATGACAACCAAGACTTGGTTTCACAGAATCTACAACAAATCAATGGTGGGAATTTTCATGTACAAGGCCAAGTTGCCCCACCACTAGAGATCATGAGTCAGTTTCAGACACCAACTCAAAGCACCAACGTTATAAACATGAACTGTTCAAGTTCCCCGGAGAATTCAATTCCTTCTTACCTTGGGGAGAACCTCAATATTTCTCAGCAAAACCAAGTTGATTTGCTACAGAACCCGGAATTAGTACATTGCATAAACGATGCATACCAAAACATAGGCTATGAATCAGTTCTGTCTACACCTATATCGACTCCAACCCCATTAAATTCATCATCCACTTATGTGAATAGCAGCACCGAGGAAGAGAGGGACACCTATTGCAGCAACGTATTCAATTTAGAAATTCCAGAGAGTCTGAACATTGATGACTTCTTGTAAATATGTGCATGAATATGATTGTGTTTGTAAAACTGCTAGTTAGTTTGCATTTATATATTCTTCTTGTAATTTATTTTTGTTTCATACAGAATTTTGTAGTCGGGTTGTTTCTTTGTTCATTTTTGCTTCCCAGTTGTCAATGATTCTTGTTGATAACTATAGTCTTTGTATTTTTTTACCAGTATTTTTCTTTTGAATGTTTTCTCTAGTTGCAATTTTGCGTGGTGAAGTGTAGTTGATTGCACTCCGAAAATGTTCATTAGAGTAAAATCCCCTGGTTTTGGAACTGCAAAATTTCCCTGGGTCATGCAGAATAATGAGTTGAAAACAACATTCTGAACGCTGTTAAAGCTTTAATCAACTTAACCATACATGAAGTTCAATTATAATTACAAAAGAAAGAAACGAAGGGTTATCATGCGCTTGACAGGATGATGATTTTTGCTTATAAAATATAATTAACTGAAAATTTATCTTCAAAATTTATTAGAATCGGACTAATTAATTTTTTTTTTTAAACTGATCCTACTTATCTCTTTGAGGAGAATCAGAACTCCTGGTGTCCCACGGGTTCAAATTAATGATAACGAGTTTTGATACTTTACGAAACATCATAAGTTCAACATTATGTGCTGCCATCGTATCAAAGAAAGCGCAACTTTATTCTTTTTGGAATAGTGATATTAATTAATGTGATAAATGTCAAGATTGAACTCCACTCAATAATTTGAATTGTTATATGAAGAAATGAATATGGTTATGCATTTTTAATGGGAATATAGTTTCTCATATTTATAAGATAAATTTGTTTCATGCAATAAACAAAAAAATTGATATGACCACTTGTTTTCTTTTTCCTCTCTTCTCCCAATTGGTGGGTCTTATCCACTTTTTTGTGTGGCACTAGATAATTTATCTCATACAACACAAGAAACTATATTTTTAATATGCCATCTTGTGTAAAATTATATTTTTACTTAAAAGTAATGTGAATAATACATAAGTTCATTTTACTTATAAAACATAAATTATTCATATACTAATTTTTTAGATACTTAATTAGTACTATACCATGAAATCATATATCTGAAAATAAGCCCTCTACGTTTCTTTCACGGGTTATTTTATCTTTCTTTTTTTTATGTCTATTTTACCTATCACTCTCAACATTTTTAGATCAAAATCTCATTTAACTTTTACTATTTTTATCTTCACTTAAGATTCTGATCTAACAGTGTTGTAAATTAGTAGGTATGAAAAGAAGTAGGTAGAATAATATATTACTTCTTTCATAATATACAACTTCTTCTTTTTTTGATGAATTGCAAAGTCTTTGTTTAATAAAAAAAATTAAATGCTGATTTGAAAAATGGCCGAATAAGTGGTTTAGGAATATTTTTAAAAAAAAGTTGCATAAGAGATCAGCACTTGGATAGAAAAGGAAGAAGGGTAAACAATTAAACATCACACTAAGTCTTTAAAGACTTTGAGCTAATACCGATTGACCTACGTACTCGTTAGATAGTTTAGGAATTGTAAAAAAAAAAAAAAAAAAAGCAGCGTGTGATGCATAATAATAATAATAATAATAAAATTAAGGAAATCTACTTCTTATATTACAGCAAAAAAATCCTTTACAAAAGTACATAGTTATAAAATTATTTTTTTTCTCTTTCTCTTTTCAAAAGTTGCCGGCTAACAGAGTGAGAGAAAAAAAAAATTCATATTATTATTATGTACTCCTTGAAATACATAATTATAATCGATGGCAGAAGAAGACTTTTTTTGCAGTAACAAGAGAAAAAATGACCCTAATAACAATAATAATAATGGGTCCCGTAAACGAAATTAATTGAACTCCGAATAATCGATTGAATATATATATATATATATATATATATATATATATATATATATATATTGGCTTTAATGTTTCTACAGTCAATATAGATAAGTTGTCTACATTCACTTCCAAAACGACTATGGCTTTAATGTTTTTACAGAGAATATAGATAAGTTATCTATATTCACTCCTCAAAACGATGTCATTTTGGGTTGAAAGATTAGAAAATCATAGTGAGAAAAATTATTATATTCCTAAAATAAATTATAATTAGAAAAATATCTTGTTTTTCGCCTCAAGACGACGTCGTTTTGGGCTTAATGTAGATAATTTATCTACATTAAATGTAGAAAAATTAACCCTATATATATAGGTAAAATCATTTTTATAGCCGTTTTACGTACTGCAAAAGACAGATGTATGGTTATGATTTCCCACGTTTAATATTTTCATCTTTTGTATGGTTATGATTCTCCACATTTAATGCTTCACATTCACATATATATATATATATAGCAAGTATTTAACTGCTGCAATCTGCACATACAGCAGCTACAGAAATATAAATCCCATATATATATATATAAGTAAAATCATTTCTGCAGCCGCTTTACGTACAACAACGACATGTGTATGATTATGATTTCTCACATTTAATATTTTCATCTTTTGTATGGTTATAATTCCCCGCATTTAATGCTTTCAAGTATATATATGGCAATTATTTGATTGCTGCATGTACAGCAGCTGTAGAATGTAAACCTCATATATACACACATATATATATATAGGGGAAGGATCTGTTTACAAGTTTTTTTTACAAATTTTTGCAAATTGCACTATGTTCTCCTGGGAGAAGATAGTGAAGTTTATAAGAGTTTGTAAACAAAAAAGTTTGTAAATATAACATGCCTCATATATATATGGGGAATGCTATTCTCATTTTACATGAGAGTGGTTCTCTCATGTTACAGAGAGAAACCACGTGGAGTCCACCATTAAAGGATAAGAAAAGAAAAAAAAAGTGGGTGGAATTTTCAAAGTGATATAATATGAGATAATTATCTCATGCAAAATAAGAGTAGTATTTTCTTACATATATATATATATAATTTTTTAAAAAGTAACGAGTGATGCATAAAAAAAATCAACAATAAAAAATCTACCATAATACGAAAATGGGACAATGGTGTGTATTATTCATTTTATCCTGGAATATTATGCTTCCATCAGAACAATGATTTTCGCTACTCTTAAAAATCCAAGCAACTCACAAAATGTAATACGCTTAAAAAAGAAATGAATTATATGGTGGATAAAAATTGCACAATTTATGGTGAAGGTTGTCATTTCCACTAAAAATGTCTTTTTCCATCTCGTGGCAAATTGCTGAAGGCGAAGTAGTTTAAAATTGTAACTTTGAAGAACAATATGACACATGGACAAAGGAAAGCACACACCACCTCCATCGTGTTTTAATCAATTTGATCTCATGGTAGCCAATCATCATCTTCGACTTATCCTTCTCTTCATTTTCTCCTTTGTTTGCTATCCCTCTAGCCTCCACCGCCCACAAAAAATGGTTGAACTTTGAACAATTGAAACGCTTGCCGCGTTTATTACGAAAGCACAGCAATGGAGAGTTGTCGTTTATCATTTGAAAGTTGATCTTTGACATTATGCGACGCTCAAAAAGTGTACCCTTGTCCTTACGTGCCCACTTCCGACAAATAGGACCATATTTGTTTCCTACGTGAAGTGGGAAAGGAACCTTTTTACCTTTACTCATTAATTAAACCCCTTCTCCTTTTAGACATAAGACCTTGTTGTTGGCACATTTGTGGCCATAACTCCACATACACACTTCATTTCCGAGACCATTGTATTTTGTACCGTATCTTTAGCTTTCACATTTTTATTTTTTTTGGTGGATTTGTTTCTTACGCACAATACAAAACATCATTTCTACAAGCAAGATTTTGAAAAAAGTCTTTCATATTTTTTGCGTATGGGTCCTCCCTAAGTCCTAAAGCAAACTTATATCTTGACAATAAGAAAAAGAAGCAATAATGGATGCACATATCCATCATTTGCTATGAGACTAAATGCATATTGCTGAATTTCTTCATATTTTTCTTAGTACTAAGACCATGAGAACAAGTGGTAGACTGGTAGTGAATACAAAACATAATCAGCAGCACTTTTTGACGGGCCTTGATGTAAAGTTCTCGGTGGACTTAAAAGAAAACTGGGCAGCTGAATTTTTTCCTTAGGTAGTGTTTGGTTTAGGATTTTTGAGTGGTTTCCTAGCAAACTGATTTCTGAATTCTCAGTTCTCCACGTTTGGTAGAAGGATTTCATGAATTTTACCATCACTCTCAGTTACCTAGCTATCTACAATTATGTTAAAAAGGGACAAAACTACTGTTAACGAAAGCAGCCTGGGACGTGGTATTTTTCTAAAAACTGGAGAAGTGAATAAAGTGGTACAAGATTACCCTCACACGTCAGCAAACAACTTTTTACAAAACATCACTCATCTATGTTCTGAAACCCAAAATTGGCGGTTCTGAAGAAACCCAAATGGAAGTTTGAGTGAAGAAAGCCAAATGGTTATGATGGAAGGTCAGGTAAACGAGAATGAAACTCGGTTATTTTTGCAGTTTTGAGTCCAGTTTATGTATATTCTCACATTTTAATGAAAATGGCTGGACCCGATTGTATGCGTTGTGGAGATATGTTAAGACCCTCTATTTGGTAGCTGGTTCCATTCTTGTAGCTGGTCGAAGAAGACGCCCGTGAACAAGATATACCGCGTCAGAGAAGTTACAAGGGTTATGTGTAAAAGGGTTTTTTTGTAACTTCGTTAAGTTTTCCCATCAATCTTTTATCTTCAACCAAACACGGATTCAGAAATTTCACTCAATTTTCCTGGTGAAATTTTGTCCAACCAAACAACTTTTTTTAAACTTTCCTATCTAACTCAATTTTCCTACAGATTCCTAGTAATTACGTTTCTCTAGTAAAAAAAAATTTAACCTGAACCAAACATCCCCTTAAGGTTCCTCACGCTCCATATACGGTGGAATTACATCACCTTCATGATTATGGTTTTCAAATTGCAATTAACAATAAACCCAAAGACTTCTAATTTAGT